ACAGAATAGAATAGACTACTGAGCTTGACCACCTGAACAGAATAGACATGCATGGACTACTATATAGACATGGTCAACCTACCACGATGAAATGGGCTCCGGGTGCCATGACAGCTAGGAACATCGGGGTGCGGCTCTTCGGAGAGTATCTTACTTCATCCAGTCCTCGATCACATGAATGACTATCTGCACCTTTTTAAAGGTCAGAAGGCAACTCATTATTGCATCTTATTCTTTAAAGCTAATAAGCAGCTAATACGTATGATAGATCATCTCAGATTCATGTGTCTTCGGTGTTCCTTCGTGATTCAGTCACAGTTCTCAGGCACTGACACTTCGAGTTCTGAGGCATGGACCCTCATCCAAATGTTTGGTGATCTGGTGCGAGGAGTCTTCCAGAAGAGGGCCCAGGTGACCCCACATCTCCTGCATTCCACGGCGTAGAGCCGCGGACACGGACTGTGCGGCCCGGAACCCCGTTCGGTTCGCGTCCGATCGCTCCGTTCGCAAGGCCAGGAGCCCCGTTCGTAGCGCTGAAGAAGATGCTTACAGTCATTCTTAGTCCCAAGCCCCGTCAGCCAGTCCACATCCTGTCCACATCCGTCCAAACCCTAGCCGCTCTTCAGGCGAAAAAGGCTTTTTCAAATTGGCTCGTTTTGAACCCGGGTCCTGCTTCTCCAGCCTCTCCAAGCGGAAGGTTTCTTGCACCTGCCGGAGCTGGAGCACTGCGATTCACTTCGATGATGGAAACCAAATTTCTGGAACACTTCACCTGGTGTCTCCGAAGCGATCGCACATCGTAAACTTGAGCAAAGCCATGCAAAGCCGCCCTCACCCGCCCGGGCCGATCCAGCACGAGCTCGGCGCCGTCTGCTCTTTTCCGACAGCGTCTGGTCAGAGTTTTCTGTTCTTCCCTTCGGGGAATGGTGGGTCATTGGTCTGATTGATTCATGTTTCATCTGTCACAGCCTCTGCTGGAACTGGGCGGCAAACTTGGCGAGGTCGGACAGTTGTCGAACTTTTCCAGTGGACTGCAACCAATCCTCAGCGTCAGTTTCGGGAAGGTCAGGGGGTATTCGATATGTTTTCTTCCCAGCACCCTCCAGTGAACCACATGAAGAACAACAAGGCGTATCTGGGATTCAAAGAAAGACGGAGAGAGTAGAAGGACAAAAAAAGCTCATCACTCCCATTGTTTGGGTGTTTAGTTTTGACAGTCTTGACACACCCGGCCGAGCTCGGGCAAGAATCTTTGAAGCAGCTCTGGAGTCTGTCCTGTGCCTTCCTTTGTGCGCTCTCACTGGACAAATTCCTCATTTGACTCATTAATTCTCGGATCTCTTCTTGTCTTTCCTTCATGGCTTTGTCATAGACCTCCGGCAGCACCAGTTGAGGCGCCACACCACGAGGCCCTGTTTCAGGCACCACCACGGGAAAGAACTTGCTGGGGTGCACGAAATGGTAGGTGGTATTTTGCTCCTCGAACAACGCCTCGCGCGTGGTCCGCGTCAGAGTCTCCCCCGCCATTCCGGCTGTGCAGCAAATGGGATGTGCCCATATATCCACAAACTCCCGATCCAAGGTCATTTGAGAACCATGCAGCACGGAAGCCATGTGTGAATGAAGCACATTGTAAGGTGCCAACTTAATTCCTCGAGTGTCTCCAGTAATGATGGGTGGAAGATGGCAATATAGGAATGCAGAGGTATCAATACAATTCTCCATCTTGTAGCAGTGCGCTGCAACATGAATAGAGACCTTCTCACAATTGTGAGTAGTACAAATGGTTGAGACTCCACCAAGGATGATGGTGGTGTTCTCGCATCCGGTGATCAGGCAAAAGCGGATTCTCGCCGTCACATAGATCGTACTGTCTTTGCAGTCAGAGATATTGAGGTATTCGATCTCCGCATTATGTGGCCTCACAAGTGTGGCGCCGTGGCGGTCCAGCAAGGGGACCTTGCTAACGAACCCATCCATGATCTCCATCTAGAGTCAAAGCTATAAACAGAGTGGGACGAAAGGGTACCTGGCTTGTGGAATGTCCTAAAACTTCAGACTGGGTGACTTTCTTGGGTAGAGGAAACTAATGGACACATATGGACACTATTATTTGGATTTAGGGCTGTTTTTTCAAACTTCACCACCCCGGGTCGTTTGGAGTTGGTCAAAAGTGCAGTGCTTGTCCCGGGCCTATGGAACCAAATGCCTTTCAGCACATTGCTGAGATTCAAGGTCTTCGCACGTGGCTCCAATCCATCTTTTGCCACGTCGATGGTGTAAATGTCTTCATTCCAAGACAGCAGCTTTCCCACAGCTTTTCGCAAGTCTGCTGCGGCCATGGAGGATTTAGAGGCTAAGTCTGGCAAAGCATCTGACAACTTCCACAAGGGCTGAGTCTTTGACGTCCCACCACAAAGAACTAGCCCTAGAATATCAAACTCTTCTGAGGTGATCACAGAAGGATCGGTCTGCAAAGAGAGGCTCACGATCTGCAACCAAGCGCCCAAGTGTTGCTTCACAAAGCCATGTAAGGCTTGGGTTAACCTTTCAATTTGCTCGTTGTGCACCAAAACAACAAAGGGAACCTATACAAACATGGCCCCCAAGGATTCCCGCACGAAAAGAAGGTTTCTGCCTTTCATCCATAAAGAACAAGCAAAAAGCATATATTTGGCATTGTTGGAAATCCAGGTACAGTATATATTTGTTCGGAATATCCTAATATCAGTAACAGTGGATGATGATGGTTCGTAAAGGCCCTGTTCAAGAATCGTGATAATTCACCAATTGTTGCAGGAACTGGGACAAACCCTGTCCTATAGTGGATCTATGAGTCTCTCTCTCTATATATACCAGGGCCTTCAAGGGGTGGTAGACATGGACACCCCAAACCACAGCCTCCGGGCCAAGGGGCTCTAAATAGACACCCCGAACGAGTCGGGGTCCTGGTATATATCCTTGAAAACAACGAACAAAAACATGAAACAAAAGCGCTTCCTTCCGCCCTTCCCAGCCACTCTGCCCCTCTGCCAGTCCCGGAAGTACCATGGGAGCTGGACGTCTTGGCTCCTCCCCGTGGAGAGCTCCGAGGTGAAAGGCTTCCGGGTGCTCGTTCGTTCCAGGCTTCGCTCTTGGCCTGAGCCTCCTTGGCCCTCGTCGAGCTGAAGATCTGGCAAATGAGCATGATCCTTTCACGGTTCCAACGGGGTCAAAGACCCCAACATCCGGGAGCCGTTGGGTTTCAGGAAAACATGCTGAAGCATTGAGAAGAAATGGGACTTGTTAGATGATTTCTTGAGATTGCTTCGAAAAGAATAAGCTATATGTTTAATGTTTGTCATTTGGGTAGAAAGGACCTGGACAAAACATGACAAAACTGAAGGTGGGACCGATGACACATTGTGTCATCTCGGATCAACAGCTTAGGCCACAAAGAAGAGCAAGCCATGGCAGTACGAGAATTCATTCATCCCTAGGGATCCAGTCGTACCGAACCTCAGGTACGGTGATGGTGTTCGTCACTGCTGTGGTTTGAAGGGTCCAGTCGTACCGAACCGGGTCGGTTCGGTACGAAAAAGGATCCCTAGGGCATGTTCAGTCCCTCAGAGACATGATGAACAAGCAAACGATGCCCGTCCAAGGATCCCGGGGCCATCGTTCGGTCGCTTCTTCGTCGGAACTGGGGCCATCGTGGATAGCTGTGCTTTCCTCTACTAACAGCGGGCTTTCCACTTCCATGTTAGTGAGGTGGAGTGTATTCCCCTGAACCCAAACACTCCATGGGACTGGAATATGCCATAATATGCCAATCAATTGGCCCCTTTCCTTCAACCAGTCCCTTGTTGACACAAATATATGCCAGTCCCACATGGGGGTCGTGTCGACACGAGACACAGATCATGGAAAATGCACCTCACCCCTGATTCACTCCAAGGTTCCCAATCAGTCGGATATCCATGACATCGCCTGGGTCCCCCAAGATGCTCTGCTGTAGGACGCTGAAGACACTCCAGTAGGTGCTGGCTTCCGTCTCACTCAAAGCCGGTTTGCATTTACTCACGCTCAAATCCAACCAGGCTTCCTGTGGCAAGCGGAGCTTCTCGCGTGAGTGAGTCTGCTAGCAAACAAAGGGAGGCGGAAGGGAAGAAACACACACGGTATACCTGGAGGGTAGTTCACTTGGTTGTAAGTCTGCTAACATAAGGGTTTGCTTCGACACGACTTTAGCCTTGATATAGCCTTGACTTGTGTGAGCAAGTAAGTACTTAGGTCTGACTTAGCTAAGTCCAAGCTAAGTGAGCTAAGTCTAACTTGGGCTTGAACTTAGAGGCTCCAAGCAGGGAAATCAAGAACATTGTTCAAGCAAAGCAGCTGGAAACACTGCTTCACCAACAGGATGCAATGCAATGTTGCCTACAACAACGAAAATATGTCAATACCGTTGCTTCCCCATGCCAACCACCCTCCGGGTAAGAAGACTTATAAAGACCAAATCGAAGATAAATACACCAGGAGTTCTATGTCGACCTGCTGTTTAGTTCTTTTTAATGTGTTTCATCTTTGGTGCACCGCACTTGACCAACATCCATCCAAATCCGTCCCTGCCTTGGACAAGGTTGTGGTGGCCATATGACTCTGCAAGGTGGTGATAAAGGTGAGGACCTTTGAGGAGGACCAACGGATGGAGGTGTTGAAGACACCATGATCAAAGACTTCGCTTCGAACCCAAATGATGCGGCTCATCGCCAGAGCACCAGCGCGCGCTGAAGCCCTGCCCTGCACCTCCGTGCACTGGCGTGCCCGTAAGCCCCTTCACGTGCAGCTCCACCCGCGCGGCCGCGACGCTACGGCTCCGGCCAGCTGGACGTCGAGCTGGATGTGCTACGGCTCGAGATCGACGACTCAGAGCCCAGAGGACTGTCTTGTGAGAAGCATGTGGACTGGCAAGGTCGAGTGTGGACAAAACAAGAAATATCTGCAACAAGACGACACAACTATTGGTTAGAGATATTCCACACATTGATAACTACATTGATACTAGTTGAGGGCCGCTGATCATGTTTGTGAAGTATCTTCCAGTTGGCCGCTTGCTACTCTCTGTCCATTGGTTCATCACTATCTCAGATGGGGACTCTGGTCCTCCAAGGAGTTCCAGACGTTCTTCAAATCAACACCGACCATGACCATTCTCACCATTTGGAACTCGAAAGCTACAACAAACAACATTATCTAGTGGTTTCAAGGTAGATGTCACAAGTTACCCCAAGTGATTGTGGTGAATAATATGGACCCCCTACAGAACATAGACATCTTAGGGGGTGCGGATGTGCGGATTGCATTTTCCCGTCTCCTCACCTCTCGCTGCTCTCCTCGTCTACTTCCTTGCCTCCGTCTGGTGTCGGTTCAGCGTCTCCTCAGTTCGGCCCTCAGCTCGCGCCAAGCGGTTCTCCAGCTTGGCCTTCGGCCGTGCGTCCGCTCCCCCCCCGGGCGACCGTGTGGACGGAGGTGATGGAGGGAGCAATAAACCGGCTTCGGATGGATGGTTGAGAGGGGGATTGAGGTTAAAACATGTTAAAACTGTTTTGGCCAGGGGTGGTGTTAGAGAAAGCAAACGAAAAACGGAGGGCTTCGCAAGAGCAACTCCAGCTAGCCGGGGTGGGGGCATAGCTGACTCGTGAACATCGAATCTTCTTTCATCGCACCACGGAGTGAAAGGGGATCCCCCCCACAGGGAACGAGGTCTTTCCCCTCCTCCCCCCCCCCCCAAACAAATACCACCGAGGTCTATCCATGCAAGAGGATCTATATGGATCCCTAGGGATCCAGTCGTACCTCCTCAAGTTCGGTGTCTCCTGGACCCGAACATGGCAGCCACCCACCCACCCCAGTCCCACCGAACAGGAGGAGGAGCATTTCTGGATCCTTAGGTGATGACAGCTAAACCATGCGCCTGACACCTCCAACAAGTCGATCGATCTCTCGACCTCGGACGCCACACCGCCCCGCCTCGAAGTGTGCCAGGGCCGTCTCCAGTCTCGAAGCCACCTGAGAGCTGGTGGAGACGACGCGAGGTCATGCGAGGTCGAGTGGAAGGTGGTCATCTCACAGGTCAATTGGTACCATTGCATGAAAGCCAATTCAATCTCTAGGGATCCAGTCGTACCGAACCTCCGGTACGGTGATGTGTTCGACACTGCTACGTAGGTTTCGAAGGGTCCAGTCGTACCGAACCTGAGGTTCGGTACGACTGGATCCCTATAATAGGGAATAAACAAAACGATCATTAATATATGACACGATGGTGAAGGGATTCTACTTTGGTCTTTGACCGATGTTCCATCGGTTTCATGTAGAGCAGGAGACCACTGA